GCTCTAAATGTTACGCCAATGGCAATGTACTTAGAAATGGAATAGTCACTCGAAAATGGAAAAATCTCAAGGTATAGTTTGAACCACCGCAATATATGATTTACTGCTGTGCAACAGAGGGCAAACCATTCCAAATAAACTTCAGTGGCACCAACACCCAAAAAGCACAAAGTTGGCACATTCTTCACAAGCACATAATGCTGCACCTATTTCACAAGAACGTCAACACCACTAATATTTGCTCCCCAGTAAAACTCCCAATTAATTCAATATATAGTTAAACATTTCACACTAATTAATAACAATTTCATTGTATTCATAAAATGCTTCTAATCACTACAGTTTATCTTCATTAGCTTCATTCTACTGAGAAGCCTTGCCATCCCTCTTTACTTAGGAACAAATTGTGATAACTTCCTTCACAGTAAAAAAAGCATTATATCGTGAGAAGCTCTTCAGGTCACCAAAAGCAAGATGCATGCATTCCTTGTGAAGAAAAGTAGCACGATCTGGCTCTTATATTTAATAATGAAAATTTACAAAATACTTTTGGTACCGAAGGCACAGGAAAACTTCAGCTCATGAGGCAATAAAAGTACAAATACTGCAACATGATTCATTACTGATGAAATTATTAGCTGTTCAGGCACACTTTTGATAACAGAATTCAAATCCTAGAACATAAAACTGGTTCTGATGATTTTATGAATCCAGTAAAAATCACTACTCTGTGGCTGTAAAAAATGAGATAAACAGAAGCTTGAAAGTAGTTGATTCATATATATTTGATTTTTATGTTTTAGCATTGATTACAAACAGAAGACAAAAATTTTGAGAAATAAAAAGCAGAGTATTTAACTGTGGGGGAAAGGGTATGGGGTATTTGTTGTTTGTTTTGTTGTTTTTTTTTTAAATGCTGAGGTTTTTTTAACACCATCCAGCTGACCATTTAAGCTTGTCTTTGAATTGAAGGGATCCAATTTAGGAAAAAAGAAGTTTTATCAGCTGGAAGATTTACTAAGCTCCTAGAATTTTAACACAGGTACTGTATAAACAGCTCATAAATAAACCATAGTATTGCCTAAGACTAAATTATGAATATAGCACAAAGCATTAAATTACAAAAACACTTTTATAGGACTTTACTTTCTCATGGTACTACTCTTTGTTAACTGTGACTCTTGGCCTTAAAAGATCAAGATCAGACATCTGATCTTGATGAAGAAGCATATAAGTGTCCCAATTTCCCTGTGAACATTTTCTTTCACTTATAAAAATGTACTTCTCACCTTACATACTTCAGCATCTGCTGTGTGAATGTCTGCCCTAAAAACTGCCTTACATGGTTACTGCCTCCATACATTGCCAGTAGCTAGAAAATACTCTAAACCCCTGCTTCAGAAAGTCATTGGATATCCAAATCATAAATTTCAAATTCCCAGCTGTCACCGCCTAACTATGCCTTCTGCATTTCAGCTTAGTCATGATATATGACATTATCACTCTCTTACACTTTATATGTGCTTCAGCATTAACAAAACAACTTGCTTAGTATTCCTTTTGACCATGTTTACCACAGCAGCAATTAATTAATCTAAACAGTCATCACAAACTCACTCCTGTAAAAAGCAATTTTGTTTACTCCTTGTTTCTGTATTTCTCTCTGTATTTAGTTCACTTTTTCCTCTTGGTAACAGGGAATGTAAGTGTAAGGGGGAGGCGGAGAAAAAAAAGTGATGTAACATTTTCATGTAACAGCTTATTACCTATTTAGAACTCTAGAATGATATAACATGGTTTAAAGATCCCACCCTATGACTAAAAAATTATACATTTGAATGAAAGGAGACCTTTTCCGCAACATCTTTTTCCAAGGAACCATAAAGAAGTGTACTTAAGTTGGATTATGAGAAAGCCTGGAAACAACAGTGAAAAAGGAAGAAGTAGCAAGTATCAGCAACATATAAACAGGTGGAAGAGTGCAGCTGTCACAGGACATTATGGAAGTGTTTGCTTGGGGCATTTTCCCTAAAGTGACAAAGAGCTCCAGTACTCTTCCCCTGGAATTAATGCAATTCGTAACTTTGGATTGCGTGTGCCACACATTAAGCATTAATATAGATTATTTACATATTCTTCCAAATGAAGGTGAACTAAGGAAGAACATCGAAGCTTATAGGGAGCACTCTTACATAGGGTCAGTGGCAACGCATCATCCGATTTATCTACTGTAAAACCACTGTATGAGAGAACATGGAGTCTAAAACTGGAGTTACCTCAAACATCTAAGCCGCAGCAAAGTCCTATAACTAAGCAGTTTGGACCTTCGGTGACAAACAACTACTTACTTGGCAAGAACCCATCACACATGTTATTTATTAAAAAATTAGTTTTAATTAAAACAGAAAGTATTGTAGTTCTATAGTGTGGTGTCATTTTTATTTCTCTAATAAATTGTCTATAAGTGCACACTAGCATACTCATGCAAACCACAGTGGCTGTTCCACCGATCTGGGTTTAAGTCTCCTTCTTAAGACAGAACCAAGAAAAATATATCCTGTCCATGAACAGTAATTAGTATGTCTACATGAATTTATAGGCACGTTTAATTTACTTATAAAAAAAACCAAACCAGACATGAGTCATTATTTGCACTTCTTTTGAAGTTAAATCCTTGCTAGAAAGGCGTACCATTAAATTACTACGTAAAAAAAAATATTTTAATAGTTACAAACAAACATGTAAATTTATTTACATCTACATGTTTCTGAAAGTCAGTATTGCATGTACAAAGTGGAAAAATTAAAAAACAAAGCAAACACCAGCAATTAATCAGGGAGACTTATCATCCAGGGGTGACCCACTTATAATGCTGGAGACTGGAATAGGTCCCACTTGATGACTGTCAAAAACTAGATGCATGACCTCAGATGGTTTGCATAATTTATCTGCAATTCCATTTACCCAGCCTTAATTGGGGAAAATCTAACTTACCTGGATTGCAGTTTGTCATCAAAATAGAATGTGTCCTAGAAATGCATGTTACCATTCAGATACAAAAGTATTCATACACAACACTTTAAGCCTCCAGAATCAAGTACTCTCCATTGGAACATAAAGAGTCTTTGCCATTTATTACTTGTTTGATGAATGTTTCAATCTTCTAGAAGAAAAAGGGAACCATTTGCTTACTACCTGCTGAGAACATTAATATAGCACTTCAAATATAATAAATGAATGAGCAGGGGACCATTGGATTTTGCAAGTTTATTGCATGGTAGTTACATTACTTCTCAACTGGCCAATCTTTAATGATATTTTTGAAACGACATTACTTAACAAAACGCATTTCCTTTAAATAATCATGTACCCTACAAATTGTCTTTAAAACTAAGCAAAGAGATTAGGCTGGGAGCACTCACTGGATCAAGCCACTCGCTCATTTGTGAGTAGTCCCTATAAACAAGGATTTGCCAATCTGCCAAACTAATTTCCCTACTCTGAAATTAATGTCATCAAAATTGATAATACCACTCAATGTAAGTTACAGATCTCTGCTGTAAGCAGAGAGGTGTTATCATCAGTTGGCGTAAATCTACACTGTTCTTAAAACCAATGGAACTACATCAATTTACAGCTGCTGAATATTTGTCCCCGTGTCTGTTTTTAGCACTGATAAAACCACTGAACAAATTTTAAAGCTCCCATTGACTGTAGCAAGACCAATGCCTAGAGGAGGCAAGAGAGACTACAAGTAAGCCATCCTAGAATTAGTGCACTTTTTCCCTGCTATTAATTCCAAGTTTAAAGTTAGTTGTTAACTTCCCGGGAGGAAGCCAAGAGCACAGCAGATTTTAGAACTTCTTAGGTTTCTTTCATGTAATCCCAGAAATTCTGTTTAATAACAGTGATTTATCAGGCCAAGTCCAGTTTACTGTAATCATGCAAATAACCCCCACAAAGCCCAAAGGAAAAGCAGCACCATCAGGAAAACAGGATCTGGCCCACAGTTTTACTCCAACAGAATGTAGTTTCAAAGTGACTGTTGCACTGATGTTCTCTCCCTGATAGCTATAATTCCACCTGTGTTTAAAATCTCTTTGCATTTCCTCTACCACCCTTATGTAATTTTTCCTTCATAGGTATGATGTGGTGCAACACTTGTCTAAGCAATCCTCACTTGCACACTTAACCCTAGGGTACTCAAAAGGACTAGAATACAGCAAAAAGAAATAATTGCTCGAAAAAGGATTTTGCAGGAGGGGTACTCAGTTGTTTCTTAGACCACCATCCTGTAAAACTGCAGGCAACACAGACAAAATACAGTTGTTTCACAGAAGACATCTTTAATCAAGGCGTGTTTCTCTACACGATTCTAAGTGTATGGATTCTTGCAAATAGCTAACAAACATATTTCTGAGTACAATGAACTAAACAGGGCAGTTTTCAAAAGTATCTCCATGCATCTCGCCAAGTGGCATACACCGTAGTTATCTATAGGTATTTTCCCTTACACATAAATAGCAAGAGATTTACAGTCACTTGCATTCTGTAAGCATTGCATGCAACGATGATTTTTAATAGCAACTGAATTAACTGCAAGGAATAAAAACTCAAAACTTCTGCTTCAGGACGCTACTAATAAGAATAAAAATAGTTAATTATTAAAACCAGTTATCAGAAGGAAAAAAAACAACTTCAGATGTTCTTTAGCGCTCCTCCATTGTAAGTTACTTCAATATTTAAAAGAAAAAGAATTAAAATGGAATATTCCTCTTCAACTTAAGCATACCCATACAGAATCAGATTTATCAACAGCACGAAATGATCTCCTACCTACAGTTTGCTTCATGCAACTTTTTAGAAGAACATTTTTTAAAAAATCCTCCTAGACACCACAAAACTGTTCAATTTAAAATCAGCTAATCGATCACCTTTCTGTAAAGCTGCATTTCTTTTCTTTAATGTAATAGAAATATTTGAGGGATTTCCGTTTTTACCTTCGCATTTTTCCTTTTCCAGTATCCATAACCAATCATCGCTCTGCTCTTCCATTATGCTTCATATATTGCAGAGTGAGAAGCATCTTCATTAAATAGTATTAAAAATAGAACACACCCGATCTCCCCACCGGAGCATGCTCTGACAGTGCTGATACCACAGCTTTCAAGGTAACCATGCCCAGCTGGGAACTGAGAGGCAAAGTCAGTGCGAGATTAGCAATTTGCAAGCCCAATTGTGCACACAAACTTGCCTCGATCCGTGACGAAGACTGCTAAAACAGAAATCAGCGTGCAGTTAAAGTATACAACTGAAAAGTTGCAGGTCAGTTTACAGTACGGGTTGGTTCTTTGGGTTTTTTTCCCCTCCCCATCACCCTCGGCTTCAATTGCTTTGTACTTGCCTAAAACGTACATATGCTATTTAGAAGAAGGCGCACCGGGCATGCATCTGGCTCAGCATTGCAACGGCAGAGAAGTCAAACAGATGATGCACAAACACTTGTGTCGCTCTCTAATGTCTTTGTTTCCCCTCCCGGCACATTTACAGCGATGTCACACGGCGGCGGGATGAGTTTTAAGCGAAACCGCACACACCTGGAAGCGCAGAGACACACCTAGCACGTAAAAATGCACTCGAAATCTGAGCGTGTTCCCCCCCGCAGGCTGACACGGTAAATGAAGGCAAAATAAATAACAGCAATTAAACAAGGCTGCGCAATGGCTGCGCTCGATGAGCACGTCTGGGTTAGAGTTACAAGCGATATCGTTTGAGACGCACAGACAAGTAGGCAGAATACACCAAGCGGAGTAACATGAACTGCTTTTTGTGAAAAAAGGACACCTAATAATACGCATGTAACTCCCGAACTGGGACCCTCCTCCACGGCATGCAAAAAGAGATGCTAAGGAAGCACCAAGTAAATCTGTTGCCCTCAAATCGCCACCCTTCAGAACAATGCCAGTCCAAGCAGCCCAGGCTTGCCCTCCAGCAAACACGGCTTTGAAAGGGGATCCCTGGATGCTGTTCACAAATCAGCGAGTAAAAGTTGAGATTTTTTCCTTTAAGTTTGATCCGTTTTAGCTAAAATGACAGCTGAGAGGACGGAGCTCTCCCCTTCCCCCCCTCCCCCCGCAGATCCCCTCCCTGGCGCTCGTCTCCCCACCTAGGTTCCCGGACAGCGGCCACCTCACCTCGCGCCGGACCCCGACCCGCCTCAGCTCCGGCCAGCAGCGCCTCTGGCGATGACGGCCGGCTGCCGAAACTTTGGGGAAGCCGCCGCCCTCCGCAGGGCAGACGGCCCCGCGACCACGCCGAGAGCCGCAGCGAGCCCTCCCCGCCCTACCTGGCTGTCACCACCGCTATGCTGCCGCTCCGCAGTCCCGTGCAAGGCTCCGGCTCCAGCACCGATAGCATCCTGCCCCGCCGGACTATGAACGACACCCTTTTTTCCTTTCTTTTCCCTCCCACTCTGGTAAATACCGCATCTTAGAGCCGGAATCCTGCAGCCGCTATTAATAATTGCACATCGCACGCAATAAAGGCAAGCCCCGGCTGCATACACAGCTCCTGTTTCCCTCTTCCTCCGCTCCACATTCTCCAGCCGCCCTGACCTCAAAAATTAAAAGATCACGGGGAAAGGTGGGGGGGATGGGGCGAATGACTCCAACGAAATGACAGAAAACATGCTGAAAGGAAAAAAAATAGACAAAAAAATCGCAACAACAAAGAACATCACGCCACACAAATGTCGACAGATTCTGCTTTGGCTTCTTTGGGGTTTGTTTTCGGGTTTTTTTCGTTCCTTTTTTTTTTTGTTGTTGTTTTTGTTTGTTTGTTTGTTTTACCTTGCCTGCAAACGGGATCTGCCCCCAGCGTCTTGGCGGCTCGGGTTATTTTTGTTTGTTTGGTATTTTTGGTTGGCCGGTTTGTTTATTTTTGCTGCGGATACGCTGCTGTTACAGTACAGTGCGTGTCTTCCTGAAAGACATGGTCTCTTCCTCCGCCTCCGCCGCGGGAGGAGATCCGCCGCCGCGCCGCGCTGCTGCCGGGCGCGGTGCCGCGGCGGCGCCGCCCGACCCGCCGGCCGCCTCCTGCCTCGCCCCGATCGCCGCCGCCGCCTGCCTCTGCCCGTCCTCTCCCGGCGCCGCCTGGATCCCCGTCTGGCTCGCTCCTCTCTGCCTGTTCCTCCGTCCTTTATCTGCCCGCGCTCGCCGGCTGTACTGTCTGTCTGCGAGTCTCTCCCTCCCTTTCTCTGTCTCCCCGCCACGCAGCGTGGTGCGCCCCGGACCGCAGGCAGCGCCGCGCTCCGGCTCCGCTCCGCGCGGCTCCGCGCTCGCTGCGTCGCGCCGCCGCCGCCGCCCCGGCTGGCACTGCTCTGCGCCGCACAGGAGCGGCCGGCCCCGCCCGCCATGGCGCTCCCCGCCTCACCCCACCAGAGCCCCACGGCAGCGCTCGGAGGCGCCCGCCGGGCTCCGTGTCTGTCTGTGTGTGGGGTGGCTCTGTCTGTATGTCTGAGTGTCTGCCCGCCCGTGTGCGTGTGGCTTCCCGCACGCCGGCCCCTGCAGTCACACTGCTTCTCCCCCCCGCCACCACCAGACAAACCCTCCCCGTCAGCCCATCCCCAGCCAGGAGCAGAGACAAAGCACCCGAGCGGGGCTAATAAGGAGAAAGCTCGTTAATCCCCTCCGATTCCTTGTTATTTGCTCCCACCCACTCCCCGTCGCCTCCAACACACGCTCAAACACCCCACCTCACTCTCCCAAGGCAAAAAAAAGAGGGAAGGAAATGGGCCCTTGACTCCAGAGGACAGCTTTAGTGAAGGTCTGGGGGGGGGCGGTTTTAATTATTATTTTTGCTTGTGAAACCTGACAGCCTCCGCGTTGATCAGCCGAGCTGCTGAAAGGGGAGGGAAAAAAAAAAAAAAGACCGCAGCAGATTTTGGGTAGTAGAAGATAAGCCACTGAAAATGGGGCACATGATCCCCTTCCCCCTCCCCTGCCCAGCATGACTCTATCTAGGATCTCGCTTGATGATATTTCTCCTGGAGACTTGCTGCACACCATCAAGACCGAGGGAAACAGGCAATTCAGCGGCACATGCATTTCCAATACATAAAACCCCTGCTATCCATTTAAAACCCGAGCCTCATTTTACCCAATTGAATACATCCAGGCATTCATTCCGCACCCAGCCGAGAAAAGGGCATTTACCTCTTTGGTAGGTGGCTATTAATATGCAGTAAAATTATAGCTGTACAATGCCAAATGTAATTGCCATAGATCATTTAGAGCAGATCCAGCAATTCAGCTGCTGGAAATGCATGTCTGTGAATAACCATGCATCTGGTACAATGCCCTCTACTACAATAACCTGAAAGGAGACAGAAGTGTCTGGTACTAGCTGCAATTAGTAATCCTATGGATGAAAAATAAACAGTCAATAAGTACAAAGCAGCAAGGTCCTATGAAATATAGCGATCGTTTCTGTCTACGGCAATACAAATAACCCAACTCCCACAGACAGACAATTCGTATTTAAAATACGCAGTTAAAAATGCACTCCTTTCATTATGTGCTTTCAGAAAGTCCTAGTTATGAAAGACAGCTTGCTACGATTAATGAACATAGTAGAACTTGCATACCAGTAAATATGGACAAATATACAGAAGGCTGGGGGAGGATGGAGGGAAATGTTTGCTTTAGTAGGTATTATCCTGGCACCCCTGGAATCCCTCTTTCCCCTCAGAAGCAAACACCTGCTTTTACTGGGGACTGCTGAATGGAATCAGACTGGAAGAATACAGTGAGCGATGAACCACAACAGGGTGTGCATTAGCCGGCTCTTGGTGCACGCCTCAAGTGATCAGAGGCATTCAGCCAGGCACACCAAAACCTGTTCTGCTAATGCACCTCCTGATGTGGCTTCCTCCTGGGATGGTCGTGTGTGGCTCCATCTACTTTTAAATTCACTCTTTAACATATTGCCACACTGTGCTACAAGTTCAATCTGAAAGGAAAAAGACCAACAGAAAGGCTATAAATGGCACTAGTCTGCTACAGCTGGTGACAGGGCAAGGACCAGCTCTTTGCTTTTTACCATATGATGTTTCAGCCATCTCCACAGTAGGCTAAAGTTAATTTTCCAAAATGGCTATCAAAACTGTTCTGAACATGCACTGAAATGCACAGGACCTCACCTAGCTGCTGCACATCATTCCTTCCCTTCCAAGCAGATAAGCGAGAGAATGCACACTGCAACAGGACACAAAAGCATTACTTCCTGGTGCCTTCACCAAACTGCTTGCAATTCACCTACAGGAGGAGAAGGGGTGAGGGTAGTCAATGTTTCAGAACCTTGCTCGAGTCACTAGATGCAATGAACCTGTACAACAGCCACGTGTCCACAGCTTGTGTCCCACCATTGAGATACTAGAGTGCCAAACCTAGGTGTCAGATCTGTAAGTAGATAAAAATTAATCCAAGCTGTAGTCTGGCAGTTCACTCTACCTTCTCCTATGTGGCAGGATGTGCTTGGGGCGAGCTACCAAATGTTAAAAGATGCCAGCTACAGCAACACCAAAGGAAATAATCGGGGGAAAATAACCAAACAGTATCACTCCAGTATCACGTAAGCAGTATTTCAACTCGGAACGGTGAGCAGCATCAAATACAGCATGTGCAAATAAGTGAAATTGCCTCCCTTTGTTGAGAAGTCAGCTCAGACCTTGTTGTTCAGATACTAACGTGACAGAATATGCAGCCTACATCCCCTCCTTCAGGACTTTTCTTTGCAAAAAAGAAACATCACAATCATTGCACAATCATAATTTTAAAGAGGTGGCAAACTACAGCAATGATTTGCTGCTGCCTGTCCTGATTTGTAAACATGCACAGGGATAACTGTCCACTTAAGCCTCATGAAAGTCAGCAGAAGCCATGTGTTTAAGCAGAGGCAGAATTTGATAAACTCTTCAGACCTCTGACACCTTTTTCTGTTTAAGTAGCCAAATTTTGAGGGTAATCAGGAAAAAAAAAAGACACAGGACCTACTTCTACAAATACTTTCTTGAGTAATGCATTTAATTAATTAACCAGCAGCACATGCTTTCTAGGACTCTGGTATTGCCAAGTGCCCCTGCACAATAGAACCATGTGTAGCGGTGAAGCATATGTGTGCTATAGGTACACAAAATTCCTACAGACAACACCAAACACTTCAGCTCAAGGTACTTTCAAGGCATGACAACAGATTATATTACTTGTTCACTGTGAGCACACTTTTTAACTATGATATCTCAATTTCACTTAGAAATCAAGAAAATCTTAATGGGCTTTCAAAAACCGGTATCTGATTGGAAGTATGAGATGTCAGACAAACATACAGAGCTTCTTGCAGTTCTGCAGTCACAGGAGATTCTTGTGATAGAAGGCATAGAGTGTTACTAAATACATTAATAAAAGCTTGCACAACTGGTTGCAGATTTCTGCTGCTTCTAGTCATTTTTCAGTGAAAAAAACTAGCATATAAAGTCTGTTGTGTTTTGGAGTTATAAAATGGTTCAGTTTGAGGCTGAACAGTATAAGCTAATTGTTGATGTTATTTATCATAATTTTCTGTGAAAGAGATCCGTTTTATGGGGTTTTAATTTATTTTTAAACTTTTTCTTCCTTTTTATGTCCTACATGTTACAAACAAATTAATCATGCATGGTTTGCAGATGGACTTAAAAATACTGTGCTTCTATTTAAAGTGGCACTTTACAATATGTAAATATAGCCAAATTGCTCCAGTTTTACATACTTCTCAGGAAGAGCTGAAACATTTTTCCAGCTACAACATCTCAAGTAATGGAAAATTAACCAAGCAATTTGTGTAAAGCATGTACTGGTAGCTCAGATTTGATAAAAAACCGAAGCTTTATGCTCTTTCCAATGAATTCAGTAAGAATTTTGCAATGGATTTCATTAGGATTAAGATCAGGTACCTAAATCTCAGACTCTCTCTTTGGAGAAAGATCAATGAACAACCCTTTAAAATATAATCTGTTGCTAGAGGGGCTGAGGAAGCTTTTTTTTCCA